AAGTGGAATGTTATGCAATGGCCAAGTCAATCACCTGACCTGAATCCGATTGAGCATGCATTTCACTTGCTGAAGACAAAACTGAAGGGAAAATGCCCCAAGAACAAGCAGGAACTGAAGACAGTTGCAGTACAGGCCTGGCAGAGCATCACCAGGGATGAAACCCAGCGTCTGGTGATGTCTATGCGTTCCACACTTCAGGCTGTAATTGACTGCAAAGGATTTGCAACCAAGTATTAAAAAGTGAAAGTTTGATTTATGATTATTATTCTGTCCCATTACTTTTGGTCCCTTATCAAGTGGGAGGCACATATGCAAACTGTTGTAATTCCTACACCGTCACCTGATTTGGATGTAAATACCCTCAAATTAAAGCGGACAGTCTGCAGTTAAAGCACATCTTGTTCGTTTCATTTCAAATCCATTGTGGTGGTGTATAGAACCAAAAATGTTAGAATCGTGTCGATGTCCCAATATTTATGGACCTGACTGTATATACCCAGCCTTAATGGATACGTTCACCTTCTCATGACAAATGAAAAGTTGAACTAACTTCAAATATCCTGGCCACCCCTCTGGACCGCTGTAGAGGTCCGTACACAGTACGCTGCAGTACACAGCCTCGGAGTAAGTATCCATCATAATTCTCGCAACGCACTTATTGATCAGTACAGCAACGTGACCAAGCTGACAAATGAGAAGTGCATCTAGGCGTCATCTTCCAGTAAGTTGTCCCGGAAGAAGGAAGCGCATGGCATTGGTCACCATGGTCACGATTCCTTGTTCTGGGACACCTTACTGGAAGGAGATGCCTTGGATGCACTTTTCATTGTGCAGCACAGTTCCCTTCGGTCACCTCAGTCATGCTTCCATCTTCTGCAATACCATACTGGAAGGAGCAGCCTCAGATGTGCTTCTCATTAGTCAGCATAGTTACCTTCGGTCACCACAGTCTCACTTCCTTGTTCTGGGACACCTTACTGGAAGAAGTCTCAGATGCGCTTCTCGTTGGTCAACGCGGTTACCTTTGGTCAACCATGGTCATGCTTTCTTATTCTGGGATTTCTTGCTGTAAGAGACTTGAAATGCACTTTTCATTGGTAAGTGCAGTTACCTTTGGTCACCACAGTTGCGCTTTCTTCTTCTGGGACACCTTACTGGAAAAAGAAGCGGATGTGCTCATTTGTCAGCATGGTTACCTTCAGTCTCCATGGTCACACTTCCTTCTTCTGTGACATCTTCTTACTGGAAGAAGAAGCCTCAGATCCGCTTCTCAATGGTTAGCTTGGTTACCTTCCATCACCACGGTCAGGATTCCTTCTTCTGTGACACCTTACTGTAAGAGAAGCTTCAGATGCACTTCTCATTGGTCAGTAACCTTTGGCCACCATGGTCATGCTTTCTTATTCTGTGACACCTTACTGGAAAAAGAAGCCTCAGATGCGCTTCTCATTGGTCACCGCGGTTACCTTCAGTCTCCACAGTCACACTTCCTTGTTCTGGGACACCTTACTGGAAGAAGAAGCCTCAGATTTGCTTCTCATCAATCAGCATGCTTAATCTTCAGTCAGAATGGTCACACTTACATTTTCTGGGACACCTTACTGGAAGAAGAAGCCTCAGTTGCGCATCTTGTTGGAAAACAGTTACCTTCCGTCACCATGGTCACACTTCCTTCTGCTGGGACACCTTACTAGAAGAAGAAGTCTCTCTTTGGTCAACATGGTCACATGGCTGCACTGACCAATGAGTGCTTTCCATTATAATGTATGCTCACTCAAGGGATGTATATTATGGTGTATGGAGCACTACACTGCCAGCACAGAGCATCACGGCCACTATGGCAGCAGGGTCCAGGGGGGTGGCCAGGATATTTGGCGTTACTTCACCTTTTAATTTTTGTGAAAATGTGAACTTACCCTTTAAGATAATACATATTTAATGCATTAAACTGTATTGGAAATCATGTTTGTATCAAACTCTCAGGATTATCTTTTCCCTTTTGCCTGCTCTAGAACCATTAGATTATGATTCATCCATAAAGGAAGCAGGTGTGTGGGTGATCTGCTACCCTGAGTGACGAGCCCTTTCCTACAAGTTGTGATGAGACCACAAGAAGTGTAAATGATTACTCTGTTGCTATGGGTGCTTAATATATTAATATAATATATAGCTAGCTACTAGAGGGCATACTTACAAAACTATATATGAAAAATATCATAATGAAAAATATATCATTCAAATAAAAATGTGGACATAATAAAAAGTAATTTTAACTAAACTTAGTGTTACTAAACCCACAACAGTAAAATCAGTCTGTATAAAGCATGCTTGTTATTCACTGTGGAACCTAAGGGGTTAATCCTCTGCATTGTGTAAAAAGGCCATGTGATCCCGACTACTCTGTTCCTCCCCTTGTTAAAGCAACAACCTCTTTTCTCCTGATACGACAGACTGAACTGTAGGCATTTTGCAAATGCTTAGTTTGGTGTGTATTGCTAGAGAGGTTTTTTTTTTTTCTTGGGAAAGTGCATGTGATTAGCACAGGGCCAATCTGCACTGTCCAGACAGAGGTTAGGGGTTCTGCATCCTCCTAGAGCAGAATGAAAACTCCTCCTATCAGTGTCCAGCAGAGCACTGGTTAAAGTTTGTAGAGGTCACAAGACTGCTCTAACTGCTGATGAGAAAAGGTATTTAGCAATTTATATTTACTACAATAATTGCATTTCCATGTTGTGTGTACTGTGGGAGACCAGATATAGTGAATGCAGGGTCTTGGGTTTAATAACACTTTAAAATTCAAACTGGATACTTATAAATTCCAGGCAGATATAAAAATATACCTTTTATCATAACTAAAGGCAGAACATTTCTTTTTTTTTTTTTTTTTTTTTTAATTTTGGATAGAATGAGGGCTTAGAACAGCGGTCAGGTTTGTATTGCTGACTGTACCCCCATTAGGGAGAGTCCATCCTCCCTACTTGTCTTGCTTACCGTTATCACCCAGAGAAAAATAAAAAATCCCACACTTAGGGTTTGTCACCAGAACAGGAATAGAAGGGAAAATCTTCCAGTGGGGACACTAGTTCTGGTGACTCCCCAGAATTCGCTCAATTTGAAGGGATTTCCTCTCACTTCCTGTTGTGGTTGTGGGACAAGAAGTGAAGGGGAATCTCACTAATCCTAATGGGACACAGATGACAAAAAAAAAAATTGATAGGGGTTAAAAACCTCCCTTAATGTCCTAAAAAAGGGGAAAAAGGTTTTGCCTTTAGTCCTACTTTAACTGCTTCCCACTTGTTAACAGTCCTCCCTGTCAGCTCGGGCACACTGCACAGCACAGCCATCCAAAGCAGCGTGCTTATAGTGAAGCACACATCCCGCCCCCTAGTAAAACACTCTCAGCACACAGTTAACCCTTTGATTGCCCCTCATGTTAACCCCTTCCTGTCCAGTGCCATTAGTACAGTGTCAGTCCCCCCCCCCCCGTCAGAATGTCCACTGCAGTCCCGCTATAAGTCGCTGATCTGTTCCATTACTAGTAAAAATGTTAAAAATAAAAATTCCATTATCTATACCGCCATTTGTAAACGCTATAGCTTTCACGTAAACCAATTCATTTACACGTATTGGGATTTTTTTTAGCAAAGACATGTAGCAGAATACATTTTGGCCTAAATTTGACGACATTTGATTTTTTTTAATTTTTGTACTGGACATGTTCTATAGCAAAAAGTCCAAAATATAGTTTTTTTTTCTCAAAATTGTTGGTCTTTTTTTTTTTTTTTTTTTTTTTTTTTGTTATAGCGCAAATAATAAAAAAACGCACAGGTGATCAAATATCACAGAAAGAAAGCTCAATTTGTGGGGAAAAAAGGACGTAATTTTCATTTGGCTGCAGCGTTGCATGACCGCGCAATTGTCAGTTAAAGTAACGCAGTGCCGTAATGCAAAAAATGGCCTGGTCATGAAGGGGGGGGGGGGAATCCTCTGGAGGGCAAGGGGTTAGTCCCGGTATGTATTTATTTAAAAATATATTTAATGTTAACCACTTGCTTGGGTATCGAAATTTGTCTTGATTTGACCTCTTGAAGCCCCTTGCACACCAGTACTGGGAGTGGCAGCAAATGTAACCAATCAGATCTCTTTTCCTTGCTGCCGCTGCTCCTCCTGGTCTTGTCAGAAGGCTGGAATGGACTGGTGGGTGCGCCATATTGCTAAATACTGAACTCTAGGAAGATATGAAAGACAGATTACTGCAGCTCATGAATACATTAATAATATTAATACATCATTGAATTAATTTTTGCAAGCAGTGTAAGTACCTGAAATTGACCCGTATCACCCTCTTGCACTCCCACAGAGCTGGAGTGTGAGAGGAAGAAGCAGTACAAGGAGCCAATCCGTTCATGTGTTCATAAGAAGCATGCATAAGGAAGGAGAGAGCAGAGTGACAGAGATGAGCTCATCACAGGCTGAGGGTGGGTCCAGGACAACCTGGGCTCAGAGAAAGTGTTAAATGATGCTGGACCTCAGACTGAGGACATCTAGTGGCCAAAAAAAAAAAAAAATACTGCGGTGGAAAACTCTGGCTTGAAGGTGAATATTGCAGCAAAACCTGGTTTTGTTATTTTATCTAATATTGTATCTTGTTGTTTCGGACTGCAATGTAGAAAACAAGGGCAGAGCAGATTTACACATATTTTGAAGGGTTAAAGTCCAATTCTGGGAAGTCCTCCCTTGCAGTGGGACTGCACCCTCACTACAGGGGTTAAGTATGCATTTCTGTCTAAGGGACTTAATTGATTCTCCTCTTTCCTGGCAGACAGCACGGTGGCAGTTTACTGTCTTTTGGGATCCTCCCTTCCAATGCAGGGCTGTGGTCCCTGCATTGGTCTTGATGTCATTAGAGGACTTTAGACTGCCAGGGCAGAAGGGAGAAGAGGCTGCAGGATCCGATCTAGCAGTGCAGGACCAAAGGTTCGGGTAAATACAAGTGCTTTGTCAGATTCCCTAGACATAAGCAAGCAGTTAAAGTGTTACTAAACCCAGGACCCTGCATTCACTATATCTGGTCTCCCACAGTACACACAACATGGAAATGCAATTATTATAGAAAATATAAACTGCTAAATACCTTTCCTCATCAGCAGTTAGAGCAGTCTTGTGACTTCTATCAGTGTCCAGCCAGGCATTGGTTAAAGCTTGTAGGAGGAGTTTTCATTCTCCTCTGACTGTCCTATGAGGCTGCATAACCCCTGATCCTCTGTCTGGACAGTGCTGATTGGCCCTGTGCTAATCACATGCACCCTCCCAATTAAAAAAAAAACAAAACTCTCTAGCACACTAAACTGAACATGTGCAGAGTGACTCCTAGAGCTTTGTACTATCAGCAGATGGAATGGGGACAGTAGAAGAAGGGGAGGATCAGATAAGACAGAATCAAACAGCCTTTTCCTACAATGCAGAGGATTAACCCCTTAGGTTCCACAGTGAGTATAACAAGCATGCTTTACTGCATATACAGACTGATTTTACTGTGGGTTTAGAAACACTTTAACCCTTTCAGTGCTGGAACAGCACCACTGTAAAGGAGGGCTTTTAGCTTCCCTGGAGTTCCACTTTAAACAATCCCCATATACAGTATATAGACTTTTGTCTAGAGTTCTTCTTCAAGTGGTTTTTAAACTGGTCCCTTGGTCCCTTTTTAAAAAAAGGGGGGATGGCTACTCTTAAGAGCTATAATTCATAAACACTTCCTCCAAGTTGGATGTACGTACCCTCAAATTAAACCTGAGTGTGTGCACTTTCAGCCCATATCCATTATATAACTATAGCTTGAATATGTTTTGGTAAATACCCAAAAAAAAACTAAAATTGTGCCTGTGTCCAAATATATATGAACCTAACTGTGTGTGTGTGTATATGTGTGTGTGTGTGTGTGTGTATGTATATGTGTTAAGTAAGTGGACGTCCTGATCCAAGGTGTGATAATAGGTGTGATCACACAAATAGGTGAAAAACGCACTCACCAGATGTGCGTTTAATACACGCAATATGTAATCCTGCGTCACCAGGCAAAGAAACGATCATCAGATCCCAGATCAGATTGTACCCAGATCACCATCCCGGCTCCACGGACGTGGGGTCATCCGAAACCGCTACCAGGTATCACCACCAGGGTCCTGAGTCCTCCAGATGGGCACTGCGAATGATAGCACTCACACAGAGTGCCCAATAAGAGACCTCATAGCGTGATAATGCTTTAGATGCCGTTATTCAGGGTTGGTTGGTGTGGGGTACATAAAAGAATATAACAAAGAGTTTACTGACCATATGTATTCATAAGGTGGTTAGGTGTCCTGCTGCTGCTGCCCCCCTCAGGACACCTAACCACCTTATGAATACATATGGTCAGTAAACTCTTTGTTATATTCTTTTATGTACCCCACACCAACCAACCCTGAATAACGGCATCTAAAGCATTATCACGCTATGAGGTCTCTTATTGGGCACTCTGTGTGAGTGCTATCATTCGCAGTGCCCATTGGAGGACTCAGGACCCTGGTGGTGATACCTGGTAGCGGTTTCGGATGACCCCACGTCCGTGGAGCCGGGATGGTGATCTGGGTACAATCTGATCTGGGATCTGATGATCGTTTCTTTGCCTGGTGACGCAGGATTACATATTGCGTGTATTAAACGCACATCTGGTGAGTGCGTTTTTCACCTATTTGTGTGATCACACCTATTATCACACCTTGGATCAGGACGTCCACTCACCTTGAATTAGGATCTTTACATGATCCGCACTATTGCATCGAACTTTTATGCATTTGATCACCTTTAGAGTGATATCACGCATGTATATGAACTGTACTCTAGTATTCAGCGCTGCACCATTTTACTTAACATATATGTTTGATTGGAGGTTTTATTTTGGTTACCTTTTCGGTGTATCAGCTGCTCAGTAACATTTTCTGTGTATATGCATTTATACGTTGTTTGCAGTTGCGCTCACTATAACACCTTATATTACAATGTATGTATATGTGTGTGTGTGTGTGTGTGTGTGTGTGTGTGTGTGTATGTATATATATATATATATATATATATATATATATAATCTATATCTGAGTAGTCACATGCTTGCCACAGTGTAAAAAGTCATTTTTTTTTTCTCCTGCACTTACACAGAATGTCCGGTAGGTGGAGACACAGACTAATGTCTCCAATGTCAATATCAGTTCCAGCTGGCTTGCTTAAATTTTTTTTTCTCATTTTAAATCAGCAGGTGTAGGGGGAAAGATAGCCAAAAATTGCTATTATTATCTTTCTTTATTGTTTTGTGTTATTTCATAGCTTGTATAGGATATGTTTACATCACCCGTTTACCTAGATTTGGCAGAGGGAATTCATTTTTACCAACAGATGTTTTTGAGGCAGTGTCATTGGAATATTTCATGTAGCAGTGTCCGGGATCCGTAATGTGGGATGTGGAAAGAACAAAAGATGATCTATTGGAGGTTAAAGAGAACCTTTCTATGGCAGTTAACAAAGTAAAATATTTTCCAGGGATGCTTTGCTGCTGAACTGGCATTATTTAGCTGGCGGACCCTGATAGTTATGCATGGAAGAGCCCTGGGGCCATCCTGAAACATTTACAAAACGAAATTCAAAGATTAAAATTCAGAATTCTGAAATTAGGGTCATATGCACACTAGAAGCCTTTTCTACTACAGGAGATAATCCGTGAAAAAAAAAACGTGGCTGCATTTTTGCATTCGCGTTCATGCGTTTGGCAATACAGTAGAGAAACCCTCTTAGCAATGGGACTTTTAAGGCACAAATGAAACCAAAAATGTTTTATTTATACAGTATTGTAAAAGGCATAAAGTTACAAAATATGGCGGTATCACTGAGTGTGGTTTTACAATAGATGAAGAAAAATGAGTCATGCATATATTTGCACTTAAGTGCTCTTTAGAACGAGCAAATGATGTTTTTTTTTTTTTTCTCCTGCCTCTAAACTCCTGTAAATGCCTGTGTGTGCAAGGACATAGGTTAACATGGAGAAGCATTTAGAGGCTGAAAAAAATAAATGTTAAATGCCTGTTAAACAGGCGTTTTTTAAGCATGGGGCCTAAGGGTCCATTCACACTTGTGCGACTTCAAAATCCTGCGATTTTCATTGCAACTTTACAGTGCGACTTGACGCAACTTTGGATGAGTGTATCTTTGGCTTTGACCAAGGATAATTGTTTCTGCTGTACAAAGTCGCACACAAGTCGCATGTACAACATTCGGGTGTGGCTTTCTTGCGACTTTGGAGGGTTTACATTGAAGTCTATGGTTCTTAAGTCGCATTGAAAGTTGGACAAAAAGTAGTGCTGGAACTACTTTAAAGTCGCACAGATATGAATGGTACCTATTGGGAAACAATGCAGGCGACTTGTCATGTGACTTTGGACCCCAAAGTCACATGACAAGTCGCATAAGTGTGAATGGGCTGTTAAAGTCAGACTTCTGAGCATTAGGGCTCTGTATACACGGTTTAAAAATTCCACATTTTGTACCAATGGGAAAACATACCCTATTACAGCCTTCTATAATTGCTCCTCCACTTATGTGGTATATTGCCTCTCCTGCCCTTGCGGTCTACTCTATGTAAGCCGCTCAATCAGATTTGGTGAACACTGTCGCTTAGTACAGGACGGCAACCCAAAACAGTGTTCTGCAACATTTCTCTGAATTTCACCAATAACCTATCCAAGACCTTCAAGTTTGGATCATTGATTCTATACCAGATACAATACCCACAGCTGAACGTTTCCAACGGTCATGCCAACAGGAAACATTTTGGATATATACCCTCAATATACTAGCCCCTGGAGTGTTAAACGAAGAAATAGAGGTTCACACTGTCCTATGAATATTTCCTTACCCAACAGTATCCCCAAACCCACCTTCATATGTCACTCCTGAAGTATAATCCATTACCCTCTACTTCCCACTCACTCTATCATCGGGTCTCCATAATATCCACCATATATCCATCTCCATTACATGGTCTTTTTTTTTATATGGAAATGTAATGCTATGAGATGTGTTGGCCTTGGACCCTTTGTTTCTTGGGTAATTTTTACAATAAAGCATTGTCGCCCAAATGCCAGGGGCATGAGAAGTGATGATGTCATTTCTTTAGCCAAAGGAACAGAGTCACAAGATATTCTGCTGAGACCAAGATAAAACCTTGTTTATGGAATGAACCGTGTTTATGACATCTAGTAACCTCACATTAGGAGATAAAAACCTGTTTAAGGACATCCAAGTTAGGAATCCTCAAGTCTGGGGGAGATGAAAAGAGGTTTTGGGGTAGATAAGAAGCAAAAGTGTGATTTTTCAAATAACGAATATGGTGGTTGAACATGACTGTTATCCTAGCGGAACCCTTCTGCTAGCCCCTCCCGTAGTGGGTATGGCACCGCCCACTATTGGACTGCTTCCAGAAAAAGGGTTTATAAGGAGAAGGTCTGGGCAAGACCAGTAAAAGATCCCCTAGTAGCCAGAGGACGCTCTGACGCTGGGATGTTTACGAAGGCTATATGGGGCTCATCAACTGGTTGCACCTATGGCTTCTCCGTGACCCCCTGGGCAGTTTGGTTTCCGATGGGATTTGTTCCTCCCACCTTCCACATCACTTCGGTAATGTATTAATTCTATGCTGTGAAGCTGTCAAATGTTGTGTCTATTTCATGCTGTAATGCTCACATTATTATTGGTGTGTGTTATTATGCGGATTGTGATGACTATAAGATATATCCTCCTGTGTGTCGTGTGATAATAAAAGTGGAGGTTTTGACAGTGCAAGAATATTGCAGTTGGATTCTGTTATTTCTTGGAGTGCCGGGTGAATGCTATGATGTGCCAGGGCAGGTATTCATTGGGTAGTTGGTCTTTCACAATGCATAGAACATGTAATGGTTTAAATGCAAAGTACCTGCAGGACTGCATGTTGATTGTGTGCATGTATAGGACTTATTTTTAGTAATTGCACCCAGCATCACTATTACAGGAATGTATT